GGCGCTAGTAGGCCTGTGTAAATTACTCGAGGTTATATAGTCTGACGGTCCCCAGGACCTAGAGAATTCACCATGTTCCTCCATTGAGTCACAAAAATCTTCCAATATTATCACGTGGACTTAGTAATAAATTTTCGTATCGTTACAAAATCCAAAAATAGATTCTACGCAAACCGGCACGTGACGATCTGTTTGTTTTACCCGCCTCAAGCGCCCGGGTGCCTAAGACTTGACACGCGCCCACTTTGTCGGGAAGGTGCGCCGAGCATGCAGGCACCAGGCTCCAGCCAGCCCATTTTATAAATGCTCGCACCCACCCTTCTACGCCGCCGCCAAACTTTTACAGTTGCCCCAGCCAATCCCCTCCAAGACAGTATCACGTCGGGATCCTAGCGCTATCAATATTCTGACATTGCGCGAGGAAAAGTGATACGGAGAACCTCATTTCGCTCATCAACCGACCTGAGCAACGATTGTATCCACGAACGTGTCAGTCTTTGGTGACTTACCTCAAATGAACATCTTGCTAAAGCGGAGAGTAGACGAAATCGGATACCACAAACCATCCAGTCTACCGATCACAACCCGAACTAGCGAAGAACATTCACGTAAAGGGCCTGCCTCATCTACGTCTGTCTCCATATGGAGGAGAATATTCTTGCTCAGATCTACTGGTATAACATTTGTCCTTGTTTTCAGAATGGAAAAGACTTCGAGAAATGGCTTCTAGGACAGTTGCCTCCATCAACTAAGGTATACGGAGTGTTTTGGACTTCGGATGACAATATCCCATTCCAAGAGACGCGCGCACATGCAGTAGTGACAACGAAAATTGCGGTACCGAAGAATGACCAGGTCAGAGAGATTGAAAAATGTTGTAAAATTGAACACGGTTCCTGCAAGGCTTTTGCAGACGCCCAGAGGGCCGAGTCGGGAGATTTGGGATGGATCGTGAAAGCTATCGAGGGTAAACCGGCAAGGGGTAACCCCGAGATATTTGGAAACAAGTTACAGGCCTGATTCAGAGACCGGGTCTCAATGTATGCGTGTTGTAATTGAGGAGCTCACCAATGTCCGAATCTAAGACCACCATAACCGCCTTCAAAGACCTTTTTAGGTTGTGGTAGCCGTATCAGGTCTACAGCAAAAACCCTTCCGCAGTTCGGCCGATGTCAGGATCAGGAGGGCGTGCAAAGACATTTGCTGACAGTGACGTCCCCTTTTGCTGCTCGACGAAAGAGTTCCTCATTAAAGAGCACATTTCCCCATATTTCACCAGAAAGGTATCGTCTCCGTTGAGTACCAGGAGGTCTTGTAGTCGTAGATATATGCCAGATTTGCCGTTGTCACCCATTCCAAGAGGCGCCGATGTATATGCAGCAAAAATTCGATTTGCAATCTTCGTCCAAGGGCGAGTGTTGACAGGATCCCGGAAAATGATAGTTGATACGCCACAATTGTGGCTGACTGGCTGTGCTCCTGCCAAGTATAAACGAAGTACGAACTTGTAAAGCAGAAGTCGTAAATATCACGTAATGTCTTGGCACTGTATTGCCGTTTCACGGCCACCGATCTAAAGTACCTTACACGGCGCCTGTCTATCCCGGAAATGCTTCGCCAGCCTCAATTTTATTCGCGGGAAGCATGCTCAGATATGAATTCTGGTTATTCCATTTGATTCCTCAAATCCAGAAGAGCCGGATGCCAAGGCTTTGACTACTACTGGCAGTGCATGGTGATGACAAGTCCAGCGAGGGTAACAACGAGGGCGTAGCTGGTGATTGTCTTCCGTTGTAAGATTGGTATGCGTACCAGGTGCCCATTGTAGTCGTGGCCGTTTATTATTCCCAGGCCGTTTCTAGAGTCACATCCACTGATATGCGAAAGTTCATTAGGTCAAGACTTGAGGTACCTACTTATAGGTTGCAGTTCACAATGCGGAGAGTTTCATAACGCGGGGATGTGGGTTAAATGATTGATAAACTCTCTGGGGAGGGGGGGG